ATACTGGTGTCCGTGAAATTTTTGATGGGCCTAGTCAAGTTGGGGAATTATATGGTGTTGACCCACAAGGACCTGTACCAAATGAATTTGATCTTGGTACAACTGTTGAAGTGCCAGACACACATCTTCCATTGAGTGAGGTACAACTTGAAGCTCTTTCAAATATTCAGGTACATGCATTGAGTAATAACTATGGTGTTGATTTATACTTGGAGACAAGAGCAATAGTAGCAGAACTGATATAATTTGGGTTTTTTACAATAAACTCCTATAAGACTTGTAACGATGAACACGATTGGGCTGAGAGACCAATCTGAGAGGACATAAGAAAACAAGAAGCAGGTGCTTAGAGAGAATAATAAGAGTGAACATGTTGATTCGGAACAATCATAACTTAAAGAGTAAACACTTCTATAAAAATAGACTTTGAAAGAAAAATTTTTTACAGGAATCTGTACTCAACTAAAAACATAACAAACATACCATCTCATGCATTAAGAGATTATATACATGTGTTACACAAAAAATGACAGAAAGATACATATGAAAAATTTGGAAGTGCACATTTTCACTTTTGAACAAGTCTTGATACTTTTCATAAATTTATCATTTTACTATCATGTGTGCAAAAGATGAAAAGCCACAAGTGGAAACAAACTTAGTGCAGGATTATGGTAACTTCTTTTAACTGTTGCACAATACTTTTTGATTGATTTTTTTGTGTAGCACATTGTATATGGCACTTAAATGTATGTCCATGGAAACTGAGTTCATACAAAATATTAACAGCGAACAGAATTTCTAGTATATTTTGATGTTACAGTACATGTAAAATTGGCTTTAATGTTTTGTTTTGCAAAAGCAAATTCTATGCCATTTTTTTAATTAACAACATGGTCAACAAAGAAATAAAACACAACCCAAATTTTGGAAAATGGTCCATTTGACACTCCACCTGATTATATCAAATCACATAATTCCAAAGCCCTTTGCTCCAAATACTAGGGCAGTGTCCATTTTTTTGAAAAATAAAGTCTTACTTGTGTGAATGACTGGCAGCTTTATTTTGCTAAAACGGCATGTGACATAGGCAACTCGTTCTTCTCATCATCAGGCAGGTACTCTGTAGATAGCTTATGACGAAGTCTGAGAGGTGGGATTCATTTGTAGCCTGTCACAAACTGCAGCAATGGAACAAGACGTCCTTGTGGAAATTCTAAAGAGTATACAAATGAAACATTTATATTAAAATGAATATTAACTAAGCATGCATGTTCATGCTATTTGTTATTACCATGACAATTTCAAATTTTTCAATTACTAAAATTATTTGTATTGCTTACTTTCACACTGGATGATTAGTATATGATAATTTACAGTAAAAGAAAGCTAACCTTCACACAATTTATCTCCTTTCTTAATGTATTCCATAAACCAATGATATACCTGACACTTTGGATAGTCATTAGCGAGTTTGAGCAAGGAAATGAAGTACAAAGATGTGTTTCGGCCGAGGTAGACTGGGAATAGTAGTCTTCTTCTTAAGTCTTCGTGGCTCGTGCAGCGGGATATTTGAATTGAGCCGTTCTGTCAAAGTTATACGACTACGAACACGGTTCTAATTTTGTAAACATGAACAGAGCTAAATACAAGATGGCTATTTTAGCAATGTTTTCAGAAGATGCTTTGCAAGTGGAAGATGTTATGCTTCTTTACAGTTTAAACATCTCAAACAACATTTATATTCCATACCAGAACTATTTAAGATTTGACTTGAATATATCTTACTTTTAAAACTTCGTTCTGACCACAACGAATTTTGTCAAAATATTCGTCCTACACCAGGACAAATACGTTAAACCCTCACGGCTGACCTTAAAGTGCCTATGAAACGAATTTTTTTATTCAGTCATTTGGTACTTTCGACAGCGGAGAATTCGAATTTGAGCATAAAAATGTCGAATTCGAAACACAAACACGAGTTTTTGTAAGTTTTTGTATTGATTTTGCAATAAAAATATGGTTCGGAGACTGGGAACAAATCAGACGGATGTGACGTAAAGCACAGGGCACATGAAATTGACACAACGCAAATAATGCAAATTATAAACAAACAATATAGGACGATGTAGTCGAATAGCAGTAATAATTCTTTTGTTAATTCGGATGCAAACGATTCATGCGATTCTCAATACATGCCATATGAAGGCGTACCATTAGCTCCTCAGGGAGACGATATAATGGTTGATATTAACAAGGGAAAATCCGAAGAAGTTGATATCGATCGATGGCTTGACACCGGTTATTCTATAGAGGTTAGATATGACCAAGAGGATAAAGTAGATTCCTTGCATGTAGGCTTTTTTCAGTTTGGTAGTAAATAAAATACTTAAGAGTTTGAACTTCTGTAATTTAAAGTGAGAAACTTCACAAAAGCAATGGACTTTATATAGGTATATCCGTGCTGTTGGTTATAAGTGGTTGGCAAGATGGATATTTGGCTACATGGGTCCATGTTTGAACCTGGAGTCAAAAAGCGCTTGGTGTTACTGCTATTGAAGCCTTGTAAATTGCTCGCAAAACGTTTGGAGAAGCAGCTCTCGTCAAAATGCGCTGAGCACAACCATATTCTTGACGAATATTTTCGAAGTCAGACCAATGTATTCGAACAAATTGGACCCGCTGTTTTCGTACAGACAGATCTTTAAAAAAACAATGCATGCTAATACCTCGTGTGTCGCCACTATTTGTGCACGATTTCTTATTTGGCCTTCCAGCAACACAACAAGAATTTCTCTTTTTTCATTTGCACATAAAGGAGATGTTTCCTCCATATCTACGGCTTATATTCAAATGTATAAAAACTTTCCCTTAGTTGTTTATCATAAAATGCGCGTAGTGTAATCTTGTCATATGTTGCGATTCACGCAAGCCTATATAAAAGTTAAACTAAACCGCTTCGTCATATTGAAGTTGTACGAAGGTTCAATTTGACGTTTCGAGCGAGACTCTTCGTTATTTAGAGTTTTATAATATGCGATAAGACTTTGTTCGAAAAGTCGAGATTTCGTGTATTTCGTATATAAGTAAGAGCTTATGTTATTGTGTGTGCCCTGTTCTTTACGTCATCGGAAGTAATTTGACGCCAATTGACCGCGCAGAAAGTGAACCTCGTTTTTTGGCCAAATCGGCAAGTTTAAACCCCAATAACTTTTCTTTAAATTATTTGTTAAGCTTGCGACTTCAACATAGTCGTTTGTACACTAGACACTTCACGAATATGAAATAAAAAATTTCATTTCATAGGCACTTTAAGCGGAGTATGCGCAAATGATGCGCAGAAGTTAAAAAATTGTGAAGTTTGTCTTTGTCTTCGTACTTTGTTGCCTTGCTTAAACTCCCTTTTAGGTATTGTGCACGTTTTGGAGAATTCACCTTTTAATTCTTCTACTATAATTGATTTATCTCCATCTACCATGAATGTTTTGAAAGTGGTCAGGATAGGACTCAATAAGTGGAAGAATACCAATAATTTTCAAACCCTTTCTTAAATCATCCATTGATTTAACTCTCTTTCTAATGACTTCTTCAGTGATAAGCCCTTGCACAATTTCACTCTTATTTAAGATGGATATGGCTTGGATACAAGGCCATCCAGAGCCATTAATTACTTCCAAGTACTCTGGTACATCCAGTATAGCATCAATATCCTCCTGTGTATAAGCTTCATCCATCTGTAGGGAAAATATATAAATATATATACCTAAGTTGTCTATATATACACTTCCGCTCTGCTCATAGCAAGTCCTTAGATGCCCAAATTTGCATATTTCTAATTTTTCTCAACAAAAACACCTAAATTCATTTAAAGGCATAGTGAACCCTAATATTGTTAGACGTTCTGGCAGCACAATGCATTTCAAAAAGGATATATAGAATTTTATAAGGTAAACAAACCATGTGTTTGCATACTACAAATTCCACACTCTTTGGTGGGTGATGAACCATTGCAGTAGTGCACTTATATAGTATATACCTTGTGTATAAGATCGTGAGTTGCAATTGTACTTGCATCCTTATCATCGATTGATGGAAGCATATTGGTAGATTGCATAACTTTGTCTTCTGATGCAGAACAAAGGTAGTTGTAAACTGATGGCACCAGGACAGGATATGCAGGACCAGATTGCATTAATGAATGTCCTATAATCATACCAGCAATATTTCCCCATGACTTTTTCGGAACACAGCTATGAATTTGCCCCTCGAAAAATCTTTTGTCCATTTCTTTTATTAGACTACTGAGGAATTCAGCTCTAATTGCTCCTGCATCAGCCCCTTCTTCCATTTCAAAATTAACCACAAGATTTCTGTGTAATTTAGGAAAGAATGCACTGCTTATAGAAGGTTAATCCAGCCTTCCATATTTCACTTCTATTAACATACAAGAAATGATCATCATTGTCGTTCACTAATTTGGATACCTCTCTTCTTAATAGTTCATCAGGAGTTTGTTCATCATCATTGATATCATCAAACATAAAAAGATTATCTTGGCTATCACAAATCCATTCAATTACATGTGATGCGTCAGCAAGAGAACCCTATTAAAAATTCATAATCATATAAGAGCTTACTGATTAGCACAGAACATGTTGATTACTTGTTTCCCTGTAATATACTAAACAACTGCACCATGCAAGTTATTATCAAAGAAGCATGCATGCTATTGCCATATGGTTACTTTAGCTTCAAAAAACATATGCAGGCTGAAATTACCCTTTCTGCATCCTCTTCTAAAAAACCAGCTTCCATCACAAGTCCTGCACATTAATATATAAAATACTTTTTCAATCTTATATAAAAACGAATTGGTATACTCATAGTCACTCTAGGGGGATGGTCTGGAGACTTCATGAACTTCAGAGGATGCCGTCGATATACGTTGGGCCGTGCAAATTAGGGTGTCACATGGTGCTACACCGTGCACAAAAAAAAAGATGGCAGAATGTGAAGAGACTTCTGAAGAGCCATGCGAGGATGAGATCGACGCGGTTTCAGAGCTGTTACACTCTGATGTTTTAGACAGGGAGGAAGAACTACAACATGCTTTTGAAGAAGCGATTGAACAAGTAAGTTGACATTGTCTTGACTAAATTATAGAACATATTTAGTCAGTATTTTGTGTGACATATTTCAGCACTCTCAGCATATTGATATTTGATGCTATTTTCTGTAGGTTTTCAGATGGCGAATTTTGTTGCAGTTTTTGTGGAAAAAAGTGCAAAAGTAAAGGTGGTTTGACAAGGCATAAAAATGCAAAGCATGAAAGACATGAAGAGGTTACGAGTTCTGACAGTAAACGCGACGACAATGACAATATATTCAGCATTGATGATTATATTAACCTAATAAATCAAAGTTGCAAGAGTTTAGGGAAGGATACTTGTTATGCTATGCAGAGAGTGTTAGGGAAAGTTTCAAGGGTTACGTTTTTAAAATTGCTGGAAAGGAAGATAAATAAAGGTTTTCTCAAGTCAAGAAACTGTACTCTTTTGTCAGAAAAGGAAAAGTTGAAAAGTTTTATGCCCAAGTACTTTGCAACTGTTGTATACGCTGCATCAGAGTATTTTCCACAGTTACCTTTCCAGTTCTCAGTTCTGCTTGCCACCAGGTTGGCTGACAAGATTGCATCCTTTGAGAAAGTTTCTAGTTGTAAGGTGACATCAGAACATAAATCTACTCAAGCAAGTACAGGTATATTGAATGAGAAGGAAAAATCACCATTGCAATATCTTGGTGGATATGTTCTATTTACTCTACACAAGCGTATTCGAAATTCTAAAGCTTGGATGACAAATTCCAAGCAGCAAGTACTGGCTCTACTCCAAGCTGGAAAACAAAGCCATGATTGTGAAACAGCACAGACTCTAGTTGACTGCATAAACCGAGGGGGGCTGTGGAAAATAAGCCAAACCGTCAAACAAATTTTTACTATGGCAGAAATTAACTTTAAAAGCGTCACAATTGAGTCTGAGGAGCCCATAACAAAGATATCAAAAACCGACATTGTTTATAATCTGGAAAAAAAATCCTAAGATGGACAGTCTTTTCCAGGAGTGGGTAAGGTATGCTGATTTATAGAAGTATCTAAGATGTGTCCAAAGATATATTACATCAAGTCTTACTACTCTATATCAAAGTGAGATCATTCAGTTTTGCAAAGGATGTGATAAATAAGCATAAAGCTCAACAAAAGAGTTCAAAGTCAAAAGCATTAAGAAAAGAAATAAAAAATAGTTCAGATAAACCTCCAATAAATGAATGAAACATTATGCAACTTTAACATAACTATGAACTCTAATGTTTTGTATTTGAATTAGACAACAACTGGTATAATATCATTTAATTTTAAAAACTTTTAAATTTAACATTTATATTCCACTTTGTTTTAATATACATACAAAAACCAAGTTGAGAACTTTCTAAAACATGATTTAAATATAAAGCAGAAATGTGAAATAGTATTATAGATAAGGTTTTTGCGCCCGCTGTCATGGACAGCGGAGCGCTTAGCTATCATGGTTGGATCTTGCTTGTGGAAATGTTTGTGGCACAATGACGTCACACACGACGTATAAGTCCGAACCACCGAACGTTAACGCGCGTCTCGCGTGTATTGTACCAAGCGCATGCGCAGATGGCTTATTCAGGAATCGAAACCATGTGGCATAATATGCTCGAAGTGCTATAGATCTTCGTAGTAATAACGTTCATTCTTTCCGTTTTGTTTTGTTTGCTTTCTAACTCACAAACTCCTACTTGCTGCGGCTGGTCGTCTCCAGCAAATTATTTAAGGTACAGTAACTTTTTTACTTATATATCTCAATAGCTGGATCGGGTGTGATGTGATTGTGATTCTGTTTTTACATCAGTCATGTTCAGAATCAGATGTTCTATGTTTGACTCATGACTGACATTAGTCCATTGAACATCAGTCAGATTTTCGTTGTTTCTATTCTACTTCTATGGAGGTCATAATAATATTCGCTTAATTCGTTTTTTCAGCCCCAACGACTTCGCTGAGGTCGTGGTCTTCAATCAACTCGTTGTTTGAATACAAGAACACACTGTCAGGAACCTTGTGTAAAAACTTGTGTTTGCACTGACCCAAACCAAACGGTCAGGCGGATTGCGTGTTGCATCGCAATCTTTCTGAGTGAAAAATCTGAGTGAAAAATCTGAGTGAAATATCTTGAACTATCGTGAACTATCTTGAACTGTTATCTTGAACTATTAAGCTATTTATTTGAAATACTGAAATAACAAGTTAAACACTAACATTTATACCAGTTATATTGTTGTGTCACGGTCACATTCACGGCTGAATATATAGACAACTTGAACAACAATGGGAGTATCAATTGAACAGTATAGAGCGAAAGTAGGTACACATGTGAACTTTCTCAGACAGAGAGACATGGCAAGACGTCTAAAAGGTACTTTTTGGAACACTATGTTGTTGTTATTTTATCTAAATGTATTTTATTTACCAACTTTAAAAGAAATGGATAAACAATACAGGAATTCTAATGAGGTGGTTGTTTGGTTTTGTAAAATGGTTTGTTATCACCAAGTGTATGTACCTGGTCTACTGAGATTATCAAATGATATTGAGACAAACCCAGGACCAACTGTATGATGTTGTTGATCCTTCTACGACTATCTGTGCTGATTTCAGTCAAGGATGTCAGATCAGATTTGGAGAAAATGCTGGAAAGCAATGTGTGGCAATGTCTTTGACATCAATTGTTTATAGCCAAATACAAGATGTTAACAACTGGGATTCACAATTATTAAATACAATTTTATTACATGGAAATAGTCTTTATTCATGTATTACTAATTCAGTTAATAAAGAGTTGCTGCTTTTAACTGATGTACCTGAAATGATTTGTATTAATGAGATAGTATACAATTTACAGTACAGTGACTCATATTGTGGTGATGTATTCATGGTATGCAATGATGAACCACATTTTACACTTGAGAGTGCGTTCAACAAAATATTTGCATTGACTGAGTTCAACTATACTTTTGCTCTGCTTACAATTGGTTGCAATACTGTGGCAATATTTAAAATGCCAAATGGGACTTTTAGAATATTTGATTCTCATGCTAGAGACTTACTTGGTAGACCAAATCCCTTTGGAAAATGCATTTTATTCAAAATCAGAAATATTCAAGAGCTTACTGTATATTTTCAGACTGTTTCACCTGGTGACATCATTCCATTTGAATTAAAAGGTGTCAATGTTTTTGTCCAAAGTCAACTAGTATCAAACAGTGAAACTAGTACTGTAATTCCTCAAGGTGCTCAGAACCACAAAATGGGCAAGCGTAAAATTGAAACACTTGAGGAAAGAGAGAAAAGGTTATCAAAGAAAAGGGAATATGCTAAACGTAAAAGAGCAAATGAAAGTAATGACCATAGGGAAAAACGATTGCAAAGACAAACTGAATATACCAGAGAAAAACGAAAAAATGAAACTATTGAGCAAAGACAAATAAGGCTCCAAACAATAAAAAACTATAATAATAAAATTCCAGAAAACGAATCACCTGAGAGGAGGAAAAATAGGCTTGAATTTAAACGTAAATATAAACAAAAAAGTCTAGAAAATGAAACATCCGAGCACAGAAAAAATAGGCTTCAGGCGCAACAAAAACATGATCAACAAAGACGAGAATTGAAACATTTTAGATGAAAATCCCTTCGACAATCACAACAGCATACGCTGCTTTGATTTCTTCTAATAGTTTTCTGGCAAATACAGCAACCAATAGGCCCTGGACAGGTTTCAATGTCGCCACATAATAGTAGGAGGAATATCAGAGCCTTCGTAGTTCGTTTACGATTTATAATGCCAAAGTGACCTTGAATATTCCACAGCGATGAGTATGTGTGCGTTTCATTTTTAGGCACAACAACACTGGAATGATTTAACGTCAATCCAATACAATCACTATCGACATATTGAACTTTTTTAACACTGAAAGTCGTGATTATAACAAGAGCACATAATAGAACGTCCTTAACTATCGCCATCTTGCCAGGGAGGAAGTGTTTCTCACAAACGTGTAGCGAATCAGCAGCCAACTGCCCTTTAAAATCTTCATCTTTAACTCGATATTTAGTAAGGATGTTCAGAATCATCATCATCATCCTGACATCATTTCTTGCTTGCATCGTCCTTCGCTGTTGGAAGCTTGAACAGCCCGATTCCTTTTGTCCTACGGTTTGTCCCGCGTTGATTAAAGGCACAATTATCACCCGGCATCAATAAAAATTAAGATTTTCATTTAAAATCCTCATTTTAATTGCAAATTTCTGTATAGTTTGTAATTATGCTAAAATCTCTGTGCTAAAATACTTGAAGACATATGCAGATGATGTGCACGGTGATGATGACATCACACCACAAAACGGAAGACAATAGGATAGGCCATGGAATCATTGAAGTCTCCAGACCATCCCCCTAGAGTGACTATGGTACACTATATCACAATACATCAACATGTGATATATGATATGTTTTACCTTTAACCTCTTTACTGCTGGTAATTATATCAATTGATGAATCCAACTGATTAAAATCTGTCAATGTAGCAGGTACTGATTTTTCATTTGATGATTGTGAAACTTCACCCACTAAATTCAAAGTTTTTGGTGACAACCCACTGGCATTGCCTGTTGAAAGTGTCCGGAGACAGAGAATTGTGTTGCAAACTCAACATTCTCTGTGGAAACCCATTGCCAATGATAGGCACATTGTTTTGAACACCATTGTTTGAACCTTTATTATCAGTTGTAGTTGAACAATTCACACCATGCGAGTAAGTGCTCTGAATTCCACACACACTTGATGCCTAAAAATTGACAATAGAAAACATGTATATTATCCTTGATTATCCACTACATTTTAAAGTGCTCCATATCACATTACACCTATTCACAACAAATTAAAATTAACATTTTTAAAATAACTTTTTTTACTGTCATATAGATATAATCATAATTATTCACGGAAAAACAATAACATACACACATTAAGTAATTGTCTCCATGAATATTTAGCCCTTGAAAGTTGTAGCAGACTGCAAAGCCATGGCAAGACAAATAAATTGTAATGCTACAAAATATATATCATGAAATCTTGAATTAAATATATTTTTGCTACAACTGTCTTCATGCCCATTCCACCTTTTACTTGTAACAAGTAACCCTCCCCAAATATGTAAATAACCTTGTTTGAGAATGTGGTGGATGCAGACCTTCATCTTTATTGTAATAATTAGACAGTTTCCTAATCTATAATTACATTGAATTCCAGCACCATTGTAAGTTACAGATTCCCTTGCTTGTTAGTTTTCCATTTTTCGTGTGCATGAACTTAAGCTGTGATGGCTTAATATCTCCATTTAATCCAATGACAGATGTATTTTCAGATGTTTGAGAGTTATTAAAGGAGCTGCAAATGTATGTCAAAATGTCATTTTCAGCTGTTTGATCTGTGTACTCAACATTTCCTTCCCAAATCTCGTCAAAGTCTTTGTAGGCAAATGATTGTTGCATACTATTACTGCTTGACACTTTTTTTTGCGTAATAGCTGGACAACTTTACGTTTAACTGGTCTAACTTGAGTGTATGGTACTGATCTACTTCTTTGCCTGGCTTTAGGCCTTCTATGGACATTTGATGATCCATGCTGGTTATAACTGTTCATGATACTGTTGATATTACCAAGAGCACTTTCAACAGTTGTATTGAAAGAAGTGTTATTACAACTTTGTTGTTGTTAAGATGCTTGACCACCAAACATATTGCATAGTGTACTAGTCACTAAATAACAGTAAATTTCCCTAATCAAATTTTCATAATCATACTGCTTGAAGTAAGATGCTTTTTGTAATGGAATGGATACAAAATTAAAGGGTCACTTGAACATTACTCATACTAAATGACATATTAGTTCACTGACCAGTTTGTTTACTTTCTGTTGATGGATTGCCATAGTAAATGTCACCATCTCTAAAAATAGATAGTCTGGCTGTGTCATACACAGTTCTCTATAGTATAATCAGGATGTATGTATGAGGTGCATGTACAATTCTTTTTACAAAAAATATATATTATTTATTTAATAGGAATTGTGATTCCTAATTAAGTAACAGCAATCATTTAAGTCTTAATTTTAACTCGGTTACCAAATAGGAAACAAGTAACATAGTAAAAGGAAAGACATTCCCTAATGTTATTTTCTGCATGGAACTCATATTTCTAATCATTTGAATACATATGCCGGCCCTTATTTCCTTGACTGATTATTCATAAAAATCATTAAGCATCACTCTAGATAAATAATTGTTTAATGACATGCAAAATTAAAAAATAATTAATTTACCTTAATAAAGATGTGTCATTTAATATCCCCAAGTCTTCATTCAAAATTGGTAAATTAAACAAGACTTACC